GTAAATGGGCCTCACAAGAACTTGGCCCAAAGTGGTGGATTAAGCCATGCAATGTCACCAGTGATCATGGCAGAGGCAGAAACCAGGCTCCATTGAATATAGTGGGAGTTGAAGTATAAGGTCACTGGATGCCTCAGAGGTCATGGAGATGCTTCTGTGGACACATGAAATATCTTCCTGACTGGCCCCCACTACAAAGAACTGCTTGGTCCAAATGTGTGCCTATGGAGAAACCAGGGTTTAAATACTTATTTTTAAGAGGTGAGGATCTGTAGCTTTTACTAGACTCTCAAAGGTGTCTGAGGGCCCCAGAAGGATAAGAGTCACTAGCAAAGTGGTTGCAAACATGGACCCCAGAGTGAGCCAGACCTAGGTCAAATCTGCTTTTAGAAATGTGACTTGTAATCATGCACTCAACTGGCCTGATGTTTGGTGTCTTCTTTTATAAAATGGGGCAATAGTGCCCCATATATAGGATTGTTGTAAGGATTAAATTGTCTGCTGCATGTAAAAGGCTTAGTGCAATGACTACACAAAGTAGAAAAACATTAATAATTGTTGTCATTAATAACTTTAGTCCCTTTAATCATCTCTCGAACTCTGATTTTAGAAGCAACATAGCATGACGGGTACATGTCTGACTCAAAAACAAGTAGACCTGGTCATGCCAGTACCCTTTAGCAAGTCACTTAATTCTCTGAGCGTCCCTTTTATATGTCTTAAATAGCGGAGAGTAGTATCAAAGGGCTGTTGTAAGAAGTGAATGAGAGAATATATGCAAAATATTTGCACAAGGACTGGCCTATACTAGGAGTTCAGTTAAAAGGAGATGTAAAACCCAAACATCTTGTCTCCTACTCCACTGTTCTTCCTTCATTAGAACCAGGCGAGGACTGAGATTTGTAGCCCGGGACATGAAGAAGACCTAATCTCATACCGGTTTTTATTTGACCTAAAATGCCCTGAAGAAGTTACTTCTTATTTTTATGCTGTTCTCCTCCCTCTTTTTTTCTCCCTCTTTTCGAAATTTCTTGTGCTCCTCCTAGCTGGAGGATAGATAGAGTCGGTTGTGGGGTTGCCAGAGGTGAGTGTAGTTGCTGGCTTTTTGGTTAGGAAGGAAAGTGTCTCGGTGTGGTCAGGCTGCTATAACAAAATATCGTCAACTGGCTGGCTTATAAGCCACAGAAATGCCTTTCCCACAATTCTGGAGGCAGAAGCCTAATATCAAAGGCAGTAGCAGATTTGCTGTCTGGTGAGAAGCCTCTTTGGGTTGGTAGATGGGCATCTCCTTGCTGTCACCTCATATGACAGAGGGAGCAAGAGCGTTCATCCCATTCACAAGGGCTCCATTCTCATGACTCAATCACCCCTCAAAGGCCCCACCTCCTAATAACCTCATGTTGGAAGTTGGGATTTCAAAATACAAATTTGGGAGAGGGAGGGTAGGATACGAACATTCAGAAGAAAGGGAATTTTTTTAAACAAATGTAAGCATGGCCCAGATCATAATGAAATAAATATCCTACGATTACTGAGTAATGTCCTTTGGATAGTTGAATTCATTCATGTAAAATCAGTTGATGAGAGTCAGCATCCTCATACCTAAGTATTTACTTGAATATAATATTAATAGAAAGAAAACCATAAAGATTATTTTTCTTGTCAAAATTATTCCAAAGCAGAATAGACATACACAGTTTGGGGGGCTATTTGATGAGTGAGGAGTAATGAGCTCCTCACTGAATCAACTTCATTTTAGATCAAGACTAGACCTGGAGATGCATGTGTCTGGAGCTTGATGGATAGAGAGGTTTTTATTTTTTTCCTTTCCCTGCTAGTTTGCTTCCTTGCTCTTCCATCCCGCCCCCCGCACTGCCTCCTGTCTTCACATCTTTTGTCATCTGACTGGCTTTTGTACAGGGTTCTCTCCCAGGAGGTATCATGTAACATACTGTCCTCCCTGGTTTCGAAAATCTTTTTTTTGTTTTTTCCTTGAAGCATTACTGCTGTAGGGAGTAGCCATGGTCACTTATGCAGAAGATGGAATGGTTAGTGAACAGAAATGCTGAGAAGTCAGGACTTGGGTTCTTCTGATCCGGCTCCAACTTTAACTAGCTGAGCAAGTCCTAATCTAAGTGGGTTCTCTTAAGAGGAGTTCCATAAATGGTTAATCATCCTCTCTGACCATTACATTATTTATCTGTGCACAGAAGAGATTGGGCAAGATGACCTCTAAGGACACACGCAGCTTCAAATTCTGTGATTATGTGCTGAATGTTAGGACAACATGGTGCTTAGTGGCTTCACCATTAATGAAATTACCCATTGTATAAAGAAAAGCACACACCAATGGTAGCAGACAGGCCAAGACTGAAAACGAGAGTGTGTGTGGGTTTTTATCATGCCCACAGCTCTACATGACACTTGGGATGAATGTGAATGTCTTCTAAAAAAAAAAAAAAAAATCCCAGCTGCCCTGGGGTGACCTGCCTTGCCTTTGTGTTTGTGATTTGGCTACAGCAAACATGTTCTATTTCAGTGTAGTTTTGCATGCTTGAGACTTGGAATGTAACTGAAAATAAAAGCTTGTACTTAATACCTGTTGGTAGGAGATTATTTTACCCCCCTCCCAAAAAAAGTTCTTATATCTCCTTATCTCTTCGTTACCTCTTCATGCAGACCTCGTCCCATACTTCACAGAGAAGGTTCACAGGAGGTTACCAGGTGGGATCTCACTCAGGTTTTATTTCCTTCATTATACAGATATTCATGAAGTTTCAATCTTTATCTTTCTTCTTCCTGTTACACAGCATGAGGTGTCCTGCCAAGACTAAGCGTCTACAAATCCAACACTAGACCTCATTTCCTGTTAACGGAGCTAGGATCTTGATCCAACTCTCCTGCTTCCTCCTCCTCTTTAAAAGCCACACACCCATCTCTAGTCCTTCTGAAAAGATTGTATGACCACCTAACCTCCTTCTCAAGATTCAGCCCTATAGTCCTCCTTCCATTAAATGTCAAAATAGAATAATTTCTTGAGTCATGTCTCACTTCAGAGGACTAAACCGTTAAGGTTGTTTTTGTCTTACCCTCACTTCCAGTAACCTTAATCTTATTCTTTATGTGCCTCACTCAAAATAGATAACAGAAATGAAGCGATTTCTTTCTCCTTTGGCCTTTCCTGTAAATCTCATTTCCAGATTTGCTCCAAATTAGGGTAAAGGTTAAGTGGAGAGGGAAAGCAAGAGGAAGGGAGGGGACTTTACTCTGTCGAGGCAGCCCGCTGAGACATCTTACAGCTCTGATTGTGCACACGTCTTTCTCTGTCCCGGGGCCTTGCCATCTCAATTTTTCACCGAGAGGGCTGCGCTCCTTTGGGCGGCCCCCCACGATCCCACGTGGCAACGCCCTCTCCAGCAGGTGGCCTGTGCAGTGCGTCTCCAGGAGGACATTAGCTCTGCAGAGCAGCTTTCACCACACACCCTGTTCCCTGCTATCAGCAGAGGCGCTTCCTCTGACCATCTGCTACTGCCTTAGTCAGAACTGACCAACTTGTCTACAGGATTTCTCTCCTGGGCTGTAGAGTTGGTCCTATTGTTCACTGTGTGCCTGGTTTTCTCCTTTCTTAAGGAAGCATTTTGCTTTTGCATTTCATTCTGTTGATTTGAACATGGATCCCAGATACTTCCAACTGCAAAAACTCTTTAAGATTTCCCTTGCCCTATTTCAGCATTGCACAGCCATAGTCTAGAGAGGGGTGGGTAACAAAGGAGTTCTAGCAGAGAGACTGAAGAGACAAGGTTCAGGAAACCTGACCTCAGGTTAGTGTGTCTCTGACTTGCTTTCGTGACCTGGGGCAAATTACATTACTTCCCTGCCTCAGTTGCCTTATCTCTAAAATGTGAATAAAAACATTAATCTACTGAATCACTTGACATACCTGATGAAAAAAAAAACCCCCTCTGTCATGTGCACCTCCTGTTATTTCTGTTAGGTTTATCAGCAACGGCAACAGCAGCGGAACATCCCGGACACTGCATCTGTGCCTCATAGCAAGAACTTTCGACCCTAGTGGAAAACGGGTATAAGACATGATTAATGTCTCTAATCTGACTGTTAATATTTTAAGCATTCTCCCACCCCAGGCTGCCTGGTGGGAAGATACACCATGGCCCCCTCAAGTACTTTTGTCAGCAGAGCTGGCTGCAGCTGGACTCCCATGTGTGAGGGACTCGGAAGGTGACTGGGTCCGGGAACTGAATTAGTCTACAGTCTGGGCTGTCTACCCACACACTGAGGTTCCATTCCTTCCTGAAGATGTTGCGTAAAAGTACCCATCAGTCAGAACCTCCCTGCAAAAAGCTTGACAATCCCATTTCCCAAGCCTTTCTGCCAGAAGACATCACAGCAAATTGGTCCTTAACTACACACCTCTGTGTTCTTTTGCAGACTATCAGACTAGCAACTTTGTGGTTGTGTTAGAGAAAATGACATGCGAATTTTTTTCAGCACTACTCAGTAGAGCTAGCAATGACATCAGGAGACAGTACTATTGTCAAGCACACGACATTTAAGCATGATGTCTCTCTGCGCCTGAAAATGCAAACCCTCGTTTCAAGTGATATGACCACTTCCTTCTGTTGGCAAGCCCCCTTTCCTGCAGTCAGCAACGTGGTCCCTGCCAGAGCAAATGGCAGAATCAGACAAGGTTAGCGCGCTTGCCAAAGATTTCAGTAAGAGACATTATCCAAATGTCTAAATTATTGTGTTTCAGGACTCGAGGATTTCTGAAAAAATACTTTCACACAATTCATTCTTGTTTGTATTTGTGACTATTTGATAAGCTCCAGAACCTTTTTCTGCTATAGAAAATAAATCATCCCTAATAGCTGAATTTTTTTCCTATTTTCATATTTAAACTTGAACTTTTCCCTAAAGCGGCCACATGTCATCACCATACTTTTCTGTGTTTAATACTGTTTTTCTTTCCTCTGCCCTAGGATGGTCGTCTGCGGATGAATGACCAGCTGATTGCAGTTAATGGAGAATCTCTCTTGGGAAAGTCCAACCACGAAGCTATGGAAACACTTAGGAGATCAATGTCCATGGAAGGAAACATACGAGGGATGATCCAGTTGGTGATTTTGAGGAGGCCAGAGAGGCCGATGGAGGTGAGCAAATCTTTACTTCCCTCAGCAAATTGCCCAAGTGGCCCCCAGAATATATGAATTTGCATTGCTAGTATGGTAGCTAGATTCATACTGTTTCTGAAATTGGAAAAATATGCCCCAGAAGTTCTCTGATGGATTTATGTGGCGAACAGGTGGTTGTATATTTTAGGAATAACTAGAAGGTGTAAAAATGTGCATATAAAGTAAGTAATTTATCAAGTGTAACAGGTCCATATTTTCTAGTTTTTTCCCCCAGAAATTCCTAAAGCTCTGAACTTTATGAATAAGGCTTTATTCACATAATAAATTATTAAAGTATGTAACTTCGTTTTGATTGATGTGCTAGCAGTGTCCATATCATAGGAAGTTCTTAATCAGATACATACGATGCTCAATGTGAAGATCATTATAATGCAATCAACTGTCTATATTTTCCCCTAAAATGCACACATGGATAGTATAGAACTGGGACTTAACTAGTTTAAAATTTGATCTATTAAGCAAGCTGCTTCCTTCATGTTGTTAAATAAATGTTTTTAATTAAATAAATATACTTGAAATCTTCTATTTTCTTTATGGAATTTGTTTTGTATAAGGAAAAATTTTACCTACACATGAAGTATAAGCATAAAATATTCTCAAATGCCAATATTCCTAAACATTTCACTTAAAATTATATAATTATATTTATATTAAACAATTATTATATTAACCTCATTTTCCTTATATATGAAGAAATTACTAAATGCTGCTAAAATTATTTTAAAAAGAAAAAAGTTGATAGTAGTTAATGAAAAGAGCATCAACAAATCACACATATACTCTCTAAAACAAATCATGTTTTGTAATACAATAATAAGCAAAGTTAAAATAGAATACTATTAAAACATGCTAAAATAAAATATTAGTTTTAATAATAAGTTCAACTTAGAAAAATAAAGGGTTTTCAAATCAACGAGAGTAGAAGGCAGTTCTGGATTACTTGAGCTAAAATCCCAGGTTGATCATTTCCTGACCATGTGAAGACATTCCTAGCTCGGTGCTGGGGCTTGTAGATGACAGATACTTTTGTCTGTTTTATCCCTTCATGTATCCTTATTCCCCAGCACATCGTAGACACTTAATAAATATTGTTGAATGAATGAATAAAGGTTACATCTGAGACCTACTTCATCTGAGAGGGTAAGCTGAAGTAGTAAACCTAAACTGTATCTTACTTTGTTATATTATCAGCTATTGGGAAGAAGTAACTGCACCTTTTTACTCCTCCGTACATAACCTTGTAAATGTTAAATAAATGTAAATTGGCCAATTACTGGAGACTATATATAATGAGCCAACTCGATTTCAACATTTGTGTCTGCTTAAGTGACAGAGAGGCTTCCATGAATATTTAATGGATTTTACTTATGTACATAGTTATAAACCCGTATTTATTGCTTCCATCCATGAGAGAATTGGCTCCTTTATGGTTTAGTCTGGTTCTCACTCTGGAGCCCTAGGACTTCATGGGACCCAGGGGTTGGACGTGGGAGTGAAGGACGACCACCTTGTCTGTACATGAGGGTATTTGATCTCACTGAAGATTTTTTTGGAAAAAAGAGGCCTAAACTAACAGAAAAGTCTGGAGGACACTGCTGTAGAGTGCCATACCTGTGCAGGTGGCAAAAGTAAAAAAAAAGATATTTTTGTTAAGAGTTAGTTATCCTCCCACCTCTCATCTTTCCTAATTTTGTGTGTTTCTCTAAAACATGCGAATGCTTAGTGGATTAAGTGTTGTGTATTTTGGCTCATATAGTTGAGGAATTTTATCTTTTCCATTCTCCTTTATTGTAGGTTTGTGGGTTTCTGTTTGTTTGTTTGTTTGTTTGTTTTTTCATTTTAATTCTCACACTCTGGGGTGGGTTGACAGTTATAGCATCAGGAAAAAGTGCTAAACTTTCAATTTGTTGCCCATCCTCAGAAATGTCTTCTTAATACACAGTTCACTAGGGAATCAATTGTGAATAAGAAATGGGACCAAAAAAGAAAAAAAAAACATTTTTATGAGGATGCTTAATCAAGATCTATTTATTTGTTTTCTTAATATTTACATGCTTTCCATGGGGAATAAGCAGGGATTTGACTCTCTCTCAGCTGTTGAGAATCTTGTAGTAACCATGAAGATTAAAGAGTATTTTTTCTTTAAAAATAATTTCTTTGAAAAAAAATAATCTGCCGCTATTTGATCTCCCGAATCTGTGTTTCCCTATGTCAAGGCCTCTGCTGCACACTCGTGTTTTTGGTGCATTTTCCCATGGCACAGGTGTCACCCCCAAGTACAATGAAAAAGCATCTGTAACCTAGAAAAAGTGTCCCCACACCCTCGTACATGCAGGCAAATCAACTAGACTTGGCAAGAAAACCATGATGGTTACTTGAAACTTATATTGATATAAAAATTGAAGAAGCTACTTAAGAAAAGTCAAAATATATAGTTGTTGGGTTATTTTCCCACATTACCCAGATGTACAAAATACATAAACAGTTTTGATGAGGACCTTGCAAAGAATGCATAATGAGCCCTTGATTGAATCAAAATCATTTGAAAGAGAAACGTGTTTTTCAAAGGATGAGCTTGAGGTTCAATTGTAATTCTATTTGAGCCTGGAAACTTGGTGTTAAAAAATGGGTTATGACTTGTTTGTTGTTGTTTTTTCCATTCCCCAAAACATTTCCCTTCCTGCTGCAAGCTCATCTTGGTAGAAGCAGAGTGTGTTTGAAAATCCATTATATTTTTTATCGGCTGGGATGCTAATGGAGGGCTGCATGACAGCTCTATTTTACAGGCTGAACACTTTAATTAGGCTGGTTACTGATCAGTTGTTGGGATATCGATTGTGTCATTTATCAAAGAGCTGGGAAAGCAGAAAAAAAAAATTTTTTTTTGTCCTTGTTGTTAAATCAAAGCATGACAACAGTATGGTGATTTCCAGAGGGAAACTGGGGTGGGGGAGGTAGAAAAGGGTAACGGGGGGATAAATGATGACGAAAGGTAGCTTGACTTGGAGTGCTGAGCACGCAGTGCAATATACAGACTATGTATTACGGAATTGAGCACCCGAAACCAAATAGTTTTATTAATCCCGTAAATTCAATTTTAAAAAGATAGCATGAGGCTATGCAAGGTAAGCCCTACCTCTCCTGCCTGCCAGGGCCCCAGCATTAATTTAAAAGAAATTTGCTGAGCACCAGCCTTGGTTTGACTAGCAGTACAGAGGCCAAGGGTGCAGAAACACTGGATGTGGAAAAAGTGTCATAGGGCTTGACAAAAAGCTAAGGGGCCTTCAGCAGCTGAGACACTGTAATTGTTAAGAATGCATAAATTGAATGTTCTAACTCTTTTGTTTAGCTAGCAGGATACTGGGTTTTTGTAACTGAGGAGGAATGGTTTGGGCCACACAGCTTCCTCAGAAGGAAAGAGCTTCGGGGCTCAGATCTTCATTTCTGTTTGTGGCATGCTCCTCTCATAAGTGGTCAAGGGCATAGATATGAAATGGCTTCCAAGTGACTTCCTTGAAACCTGTTAAGAAGACACATAGTATGAGCCAGAACAAAGCCTGGTCTGCGGTGACTCATTCCTCTTAAACAGAGGGCTCTCCACAATGGGCCCCTCCTATTGCTTCTCCCACACCTGTGGGACATGGCTGGGGGGGTGTTACTCTGGATACTGCAGTTTTAAGGAAACTTTCCATTTGTTTACAGAAATTCAAAATAGAAGGGGGAAACGAGGGGGGAAAAAACGAAGAAAATGTCTCAGGAGGACCACAGCCTGGCATTGTCGCAGTACTTTGTTTTAAGCTCCTGGCCAAGAGACCGAGCATGGGCAGCGAGACACACTTGGGACGCTTCAGTGGCAAACGTGCTTGGGTTCTGACTTGTCCTGCAGCGTGTGCACTTAGTCGACAGGGAGAGAGGGGGAACCAGCTGGCTGGCAGAGAAGCGTCCTTGGCATGAACTGTATTCTTGTGTTGACACAGCCGCAAGCTGCACTCCCAGATGGAAGAAAACGGAGAGAAGACTGTTCTAAGTGGGGCGGGGGCAGGGGAGAATAATAAAGTTAATCCTCTTCGGTGTTGGCTATCAGCACTCCTAATCCTTTGCACCACATTGTCAGTATTTTTTATTTCCTATTCAAAGATATTTTAACTCCTAGGTCCATTTTGATTTTCCGCAACTGAGGATTTATGTGCAATAGACTCTCGAAAGATTATTAATAAATTGATCATTCTTTTGCTTTGCTTTCATTGACCGAGTTGGAACATAGTTAAGAAGCAAATGTAATTTTTATTTTCATCCCCTAGGACGCTGCGGAGTGTGGGGCATTTTCTAAGCCATGCTTTGAGAACTGTCAAAACGCTGTACCTGCTTACAGGAGGAACGGTAACAGCACATTGCATCCGTTTAGCACTTACAGTCCACAAGACAAACAGAGAGGTAAGGAGTGATCTATTTTCATCCACTCAAATGGTGTCAGAAAACACACTGGTGTTTTTAGGAAGGAAGGAAGGAAGGAAGGATGGAAGGAAGGGAGGGAGGGAGGGAAGGAGGAAGGGAGGGAGAAAAGAAAGAAGGGAGGGGAGGGGAGTTAATTAAACTAAGTGCAGACTTTGTTACTCTGAGTCATGAACACAAGAGGCGGGTGGGAGAACTGACTCAGAAGTTGTGAAGCAGATTCCTGGCATCGGCTCCAGCTTAAGTGACAGCTTCTGTGCTTGATGCCCCAAACACGGAGGGTTATGTGTAAAACAAACCATGCCTGGAGAAGCAAAATGGCAACTGTTATTTTTTTTTTTACAGTCTTTTAATATTGGAAGTTAAGAAATATAAATGACTAAACTTAAAAAAATGTGTGGGCTAGTATTAAATCGTTAAATGGTCATCACATGATTTACAGATTTATGCTTGATTCTCAAATGAGTGTGGCAGGTCCCATGAACCGAGACCACTGTGTGACAGTGGAATGTTCCTGTTACGGTCTCACTGCACTGTCCTCCCCTTATCATCTGCTGTGGGTCACATTTCTAGCTGAGTGCTAGATGGAAAACACTTGGACTTAATTCCTTGTTTTTTGAAAATTAGACTTCAGATCACCAAGAAAAATCTTTTATTTCCCTGAATCTCCTTTCTGCAATAACTTCCATTTTTATATTGTAAAAGTAATACATATTCATTAAAAAAAATTAAGGAAAAAAACAATATAAAGGAAATTCAATATTACATTTCTATGGAAGATACTAATCAATAACATTTTTAGGTAATAAAATTCAAGTCTTTCCTTCATGCAACATGTGTATATAAAGTGAAATGGAAATGAATATACTATATATAATGTTTAGGAAATTGTTTAAATTAATAACACATTATGAACACCTTACTATGTCTTGGAATACTCTACAGTATCGCATTCAGTAGTTGCATAGGGATCTTTTGAATGGAGTTCTGCCTATGTAATCAGTCCCTTATTTACACTTGAGATATTACCGGAAGTTAGCTATGTGGGAACAATTTCTCAGCTCTGAGATTAGTACTGAGGTTTCTGTGGATTAAGTTGTTCCATCAGCATGGGATGCTGTTTCTCCCTCTGAATTCCTGCGTGTTGGTGTGAGGAATAGCAACAGCTGTGACCATTGATTGTTTACTGGCTGTTAGATACTGTGCTAAGCAATTTACATGCACCCTCGAAGTGGGTAATATTATTATCCTCATTTCACAGATGAAGAAATAGAAAGTCAGATAGAATAAATAATTAACCCAAGACCACATACTTGTCCACACAGAGCCTGGATTCCGCCCCATTCTCTCTGACTCAGGTTTATTCCCTGAACCGCAGCGCGGGCCCTGTCTCACTTGGTTCCTTAACACTGTTGAAATCCTTTTACCTGATACTAAAAATGTGCATTAGAGGCCAACTTCACTTTTTATCAGGTGAAGAAATACTCGGTATGTCTCTTCTCATCTTCTTAAAAATTAAAATTTTTCTTGACAAGGCAAGAACTCCTCCTGAGACTTTAAATCCCAGCAGCAGGATAGTCTGGGGAAGGGACAGCTAGTTTTCCATAGGCTAAAACAGCCTTTTCCATACCAGGACCATATTAAAGTACCTGGCCTTAATATAATCTGGTTGTCATTTAATTCTCAGGCACAGTGTATTTTTAGAGAACATTGAAGTATTCAAGGAAATTGATAATATCTAGGAAAGATAACAAAGGCTAAAATAATGAAACTATGGAGTTACATAAAGTGTAAAACTACAACCAGAAAGAAGTTTTTAAATAATAAAGTATACTCAAAACAATGTACTAAAAACATTATGTAATAATATTTTGGAACATCAATAGAATGTTCAGAGTTTGTATTTCCACTGAACAATTTGGAGTTCTTGAGACTCAAGCGGCCACAGACCGCCCCCGAGAGGTTCTGTCCAGTCTCTTCTTCCTGAGACATAGATCCAGGTAGAATGCCGTTTACACCAGCGAAAAGCCCAGGCAGATCAGCTTCCCCCAAGGTTCCTACTATACTTCCTGCCCTGACCTCAGTCTCCTAAGGTAAACATGAAAAAGTAATTCTTTCAAGAAGTGACTCACTAAACATTATTCTTAAAAATAAAAAAGCACCTATTGTATTATTTTCTTATGTATCTCTGATAGACTATGTTATAACAACTAGGCCTAGAAGAGCATAGACTCATTAAATTTTAATTGTAAGAGGCCAGGAGATAAAATTCTCTTACTTTTTATACGAGCTTAGTGACTTAGAGACAAAAAAATAAAAAATAAAAAATATAAACATGGTGCTGTAGGAGAATGTCACGATCATCACCTCTTTGTAATATTAATGAGGTTTTAAATTTTGAGAACCATCGAGGGTTCCGCGTTTCAGAGGCATGGGAGGAGGCCGTCAGGTCGCTAAGACTCATGAAGCCTGAGTGAGTGTTGATTCGCCAAAACTAACTTTTTTAAGGCGCTCTTTTAGAAAAACAAGATTGATTTGACAAAATGTAATGTCTAGTGAGGAGAGGAACTGTTACAGCCAAAACATTAAGTTTTTTTCCTTCCTTTTTTCTTCCCTTTGTATATTTAAAAATCCAATGTTGATATGCTGTGTTCCATCTATTTTTGTAATAATAGTACATACCACCCACAGTTCCACGGTTATTTTTTTATACATACATATTCCTGTCAAGCTGTTACACAGAAAAGGCATTTTTAGAACTAACATTTGTAGAAATTGTAACACCATAAAATTCACATTTGTGTTGGAGAATTGCTAGCACTGCCCGCAGTGGAAAAAGTGTGGAGTTCCAAGATGGTAATAAGGAGGGAGGCTGTGTCCCAGACGTTTACTGTAAAATCCTATTAGGCATTTGAATGGTAATGAAGTCCACCAACACTCTGTTTTCTGAAGAATCTTGCTGGCAGATCTCACCACAGGCCATGCAATAGCTTAAGAGCAGTTTGGCTCTGGTTTGTTATGACCTCTCCTTTCACGACTCTCGTCATCGCTCTCGTGCCCTATTCTTGCTTCCCCTCCTTTCAGCTCAAGTTCACCCCAGCCCCTGCCTCAATCACTCAGTGCCCCAGGTCTGCCCAGGGTCACTCACTGAGGTCTCCTCTAAGCCTTTCATCTCTACTCCAAATCTAACGTTTAATTCCAAGTGCTGTCCCACCGACTCCATGTCCCCTGGGGTCCTTTGAGGAAACACATGTTAGTATCATTATTCCTAATGCGTCTTTTCCTGGGAATCAGCATAGATCCACCCCTCCATAGCACGTGAGGCACTGCCTCTACTGTGGTGATCAGAAATTGAATTATACTTTTCAATTTGATTGATGTTTATTGGATACCTCTATTGTGCAGAATACACTATCAGGTATGCAAAGATGAACACAATGCTGTTAGTGTCAAGCACTGTCTGAAGCGGGGGTCAGCAAATGTTGCCTGTGAATGGCCAGACAGTAAATATTTTAGGCTTTGTGGGCCATAGAGTCTCTGCTGTCACCCCTTAACCCTGCCAGCCATAGACAGTACATAAATGAATGGGCGTGACTGTGTTTAATGCAACTTCAGGTACAAAACAGATGGTGGGCTATTTCAGTCAGAGCGATAGCTTGCTGAGTCCTTGTCTAAAGTCACAATCCCTTTTACCCATTTTTTTTCCTGATCTTGTCCTAGCAAGATGGATTCTGTATAACAAGTAACAATAAGAGATGTTGATAAAAATAAAGGTCATTTGGTCATCAACAGAGTAGTGACTACAGGCTGCGTTATCAACATTCACAGGCAAAAGTAGGTTTACATTTGTAAGGATGTGAAACAGAGTTTATTCCTGTTTTATTATGTATTAATTATTATATTATTTTCCATATGAACAACTGTAAATCTACCTTTGCCCATAATGGCAGAATGACCATCAAGACTTACACTCATTATAATTAAAAAATATTATTTATAAGAGATAATAATTCCAGATTTTTACACTGATATAGGACTTAACAAAGGTATTAGGACCAAGAGGAAAAATATGTATATTTCTTACAGAATCTGATTATGTTGTTTAAAAATGTACCAAGGACAACGAATCAACAAAAAAGATGTTTACCTTCTATTCCTATCACTTCTTCAAAACAAATAGGTCGTTCATGTAAATGAATTAATAATTAAGGATAATGATCATAGCCAGAGAAGATGCTGAAGAAGAGGTGGAAGAGGAGAAAAAGAAATAAGTATAGATAAATAGATGATAGACCTATAGACTACTCATTGCAAAAGCAGCATGTGATAAATATAGGAATTACTTTCCAAAATATTAATAGATAAACCCAAATGTCAGTGGATTAAGAAGTGAGAGCATATTTGTTTTTTTTTTATTTTTAATTTTTTCAATTGTACTTTACGTTTAATATTATTTTGTATTAGTTTCAGGGGTACAGCATAGTAGTTAGATAATCCTATACCTTACAAAGTATTTCCCCCAATATTTCCATACCCACCTGGTGCCATACAGTTATTACAATATTATTAACTGTATTCCCTATGCTGTACTGTACATCCCGGTGACTGTTTTGTAACTACCACTATATTTCTCAATCCCTTTACCTTTTTCACCCAGCCTCCCAACCCCCCTCCCCTCTGGCAACCAATAGTCCTTTCTCTATTTCAATGAGTGTTTTTCTGTTTTCTTTACTCATATCACAGCCCAGTCAGGTTTAGCAGCAGGAGGCAGGGAGATGTGCTCCATGCCGAGACTGAGGGATTCAGGCTCCTTCCATTGGTAGCTGGGCCATCTTCTAGGGCCTCCTGCACCGGTGCTTGTAGCTGATAGATGGGAAAGATGGAAGAGATGGAGAAGGTACACCCTTTCCAATCCATTGAGACTGGGAATGACATTCGCCATAGTAACTCACATTCTACTGGCAAGATCTAGTGTAATAACAAAGAAGGCGGGGATGTGGGGTCTCGGGTCTACGTGCGTGCCCCGGAAGGGAGGAAGAACACAGACATAGTGAATACCAGCGTTCTCTGACACTGTTACAGAAGTATTGACAGGTCTCAGGGCAATGGTGAAAGTTTCACAGAGAAAGTGACATTTGAGGTAGACATTGGGAGAAGGCTGAGACTTTGATTGGTGGGATGAGTTTTGCAATTATATAAGCCAAAACACTGAAGCAGGAAAGCCCACGCTTGCAGTCGGGGAATACTGAGTACTCTTAGGTGGCTAATGTGTAATGGAGATGCAAGTGGCAGGCAGGGACACGCACCTTATTCTGTAGGCAGTTGTGTGCAACTGAAAGGTGTCTGAGCACAGAAGTTACATGCCACAAGTATCGTTACCACCAGCATGGAAAATAGACTGAGAATTTGAGAGTAGAGAAATTAGAACCAGCAGGAACGATGTTGTCCCAATATGTCTCTGGTCCCCAATTTGCACTGTAGTCCTTCTGCTCTGTTTCTCTCAGCAAGTCTCTGGCCTGATAGCTGTCATATTGCCAAGTAACTGGTGACTGGAAGAGGAGGGCAGTGCAGGGACACACTGCTGGCCTCCTGTGCTCATGATGCTTCTATACTCTGGTCATCTAAGTTATCAGAATCCTGCTTGAGGCTTCGTTCCGAGGGACATGTCAGCACTACTAGAGAACCGCCTTCATTTTATACTATTCCCTGGGGCAGACCTAGGAGCAAGTTCTTGCCGTGTGTGTGTGTGTGTGTGTGTGTGTGTGTGTGTGTGTGTGTGTGTGTGTCTGAGAGAAGGAATTAGCTCATTCATTTATGGAGGCAGGCAAGTCCTAAGATCTTCAGGGTGAGGTGACAAGCTGGAGATCTAGGAGAGCCAATGATGTAGTTCCAGTCTAAAGAGCAGATGTCTCAAAATCCAGAAAGAGTTGATGTTTCAGTGTGAGTCCAAGGGGAGGAAAAAAACTGATGTCCCAGTTTGAGGGAAGTCAGGGAAGAATTCTGTTCTACTTAGAAAAGTGTTAGCATTTTTTGTTCTGTTCAAGCCTTCAGTTGATTGGATGAGGCCCACCCACATTAGGGAGGGCAATCTGCTTTACTCTGTCTACTGATCTAAATGTCAATCTCATCTAAAAAGCAGTCTCCTGGAGACACCCAAAATAATACGTGACCAAATATCTAGGTATCCCAGGGCCCAGGAAAGCTGACACATAAAATTTACTATCAAACCTGACATGTGGGCAAGTCAAAGTAAGCTCTACTACCAGCAGCATTTTTCGTAGACAAAGAGACATTTTCTTGTTCCAGAAATCAAGAACAAATAGAGTCCACTTTTTACCAACTGTGTGACTATAATAACTGTAAGCTAGAGTTCATGATGTATAGAATAATAAATCCTTTATTTGCTTATTAGCACTCTGCATTTATAAATCACTGCTTGAATATGCACCATCTTATATAATCTTCATGCTCCTCCAATAATGGTATCCTTATCTCTACTTTATAGATTTAAAATCCAAGACTTACAGAAGTTGGGCAATTTGCCCAAGTTAAAACAGGCATGAGGAGCCATAATTGAAAGTATACGGCCTTGCTCTACAAACTATATTCTTACCTAGGATGCTCACGAACGCTTTTTATACATTATTTAATATTGTCATTTAAGATAAACAAATGACATAAGGTACAGGATGCTTATCACACTGATATGCAAAAAAGTTCTCAATAATATTTAAGATACATGTCTATTTTTTTTTTAGGGTAGGCTGGAAAAGTATGCACTTTTGTGAGTGGGAAAACCAAAATTCAGACCCCACTCTTTTGTTCCCAAGGCCCCAAACCCAGAGGTTTTGATTATGAAACTCATGCAAAAAGAGAATTTTTTTTTCCTCTACTGTGTCTAAATGGTTCATAGATATACTGTATCTCATGATTTTTTCAATACTTTTTGTCAACAAGGCAAATACTTAAATCACTGTATAATCCAGAGCATTCATTATAGAGTCTTGTTTACAAAACTGTTGTCATGAAAGAAATGGCTTTGTTAATCTTCCACAAATCACACGTAATGAACATGTGTCAGCCTTTCATAAGTTGGAAAAGGCAGCAAAGAAGTGTGGACTTGCCACAAGTTGCCAGCAGGTCACCAGCATAAGAATGTATTAACAGACTTAGACTTCCTCGTACAGGCTGCATTAGCTCTCCCACACACCCTTCCGTTCCATTTGAAGACTTATTTATTTCAAGGTTGGTTTATGTGTTGGTGAAAATTGTGTCTGAGAGTTGGACTGCAGCAAAACCAGGCGCTGAACAATTCTGCCTCCAGTTTACTACAGCTTCATTTGTTCTTTGTTTATAGAGCCTTTGCTTCCCAGTGACGGATGGGCTGAGAGCGAGGTACCGCCTTCTCCTACACCACATCCCGTTCTGGAGCTGGGCCTTGAAGATTACAGCCACAGGTATCGGTAAAATGATACACCATAAATGTTCCTTGTTATGATTTTCCTGGGAAAGCCCAGCAACCTTATATTAACTCTATTTCTTTCTAGAATGGAAATCTCATAGGGTCTATAATTCCTTTCCAATGAAAGCTTCTCATACCTGAAAGCTTTGATTGTTTGTACTTTGCTTCCTGGAATTTGTTAAGATTCATCATATTATAAAATATTTAAGAAAATTGTTGAAATTCCTTTAGTCAAGTTAAAAAACTAGACTGGTGGACCTCAAAGAAAAATATGGGAAGGTATAAAACAAAACTGAAAAGACACAATGCTTGGGGATTTTTTCTTTATTTATCATCAGCAAACCCTAAAGGTATTTGAAAAACAGCTGTTCTAAGAAAATTAATAGAATCTAAAAATTAAAGCAATACCATATATAATCTAAAATATTGAAAAGTACCCAATATTATGTGCATTCTGTAATAGAAACCCAAAAAATCAATGTTTTTTAGACTCACACAGGCATGAGAGAGAGAGATTTACTAAGCATACACACCGTTTGACTAGTGGAATTCATAGATTTTATTCTTCTGATGAGTTTTAAAAATCATTAAATTGCTCCTTTGCTATTTTCTGTATTTATTATGGCTGTTAAAAACTGTGTATTTTATTCCACTCTATGTCCCATGATAATCCTGTGAAATTTTTTTCATTTTTCTTGCTGCCATGCTAGTGTTATTCCTATTATACCTTTTATTGCAATCTGCTAAAAACAAAGCAACACAAGAGTATAGCTAACTTTATTAGCTGGAATCTTACCTACATTTAGTTATCTCTGATTCCTACATTTTTGAAGTCAGCTGTCTGACTCAAAGACAATTTCACACACTAGATTAATAATCGCAATAATGTTCTAGATCAGTCAGTATCTCTGGGGGTTTCTTGAAAGAATATCTGGACATATTTAATTTCATTCATTCATTTCCATTTCTTGCCTCAATTCTGAATCAAGAATGATAGACTGATGGCATTAAAAGTTCCATTTAAGACATAATTTTATATATTCTACTTCAGTGTTTATCATGTGTGTATGTGCAAAACTGTTGGGATAGAGCAAAGAAGGATGAGTTGTAAACTATATCCCCAAGAAGATGGCAGGCTATTAAGTAAAAGTGACAAGTAGAACACAAGGAGCAAAGTAATATTTACTAGAAGGTATAAATGCAATGCTCTGAACATTTAAGGCAGAGGAGAATGCTTCCAGATAGAGCAGAAAAGAAAACATTATGGAAAAATGTGGCATTTGAGCTGAATCTTAATATATGAGTAGGAAATGGACATGAGATGAGCCCAGGAAGAATGGGAATTTCAGAGAGAAAGAAGGGAAAACGAAGAATGTGGCAGAGGGAAAGTTAGTTGATTTGTAGAACTTGTATGATATCTGATTGGCCAGAGGGCAAAGTTATTAGATAGTAAAATCTTATTGTAGGGTTTTAGCAGACAGTAGCCTGATAGGACTCAGGTCTTAGTTGTGTGTAACATGGATTAAGCAAGCGGAAGAGGGTTAATATTTACTAAAAACACAGCCTCTTTGGATACCTTCTGAGGCAATCACAGTGACAAGTACTGAGGACTTGTCCTTGGAGGATGGGGAGAAGCTTTCAGATTGTTACCAGAGAAAGACGGGGTCTGCCCTGGCATGGTCTGGAGATAGGTTCATGTTGTGACGTGAGAAAGGAATTTCAGAGACAGTTGTGAAGGAGGAATTTAAGCAATAGTGGCCATATTTATTACAGTGCCTTTGAAAAGGCTGCCGCACGCCCTGATTGGCACAGCTCAGGGGCTTGGGCATCAGCCCGCAAAGCAAAAGGTCTGGTTGGATTCCGAGTCAGAGTTCGTGCCTGGGTTGCGGGCCAGGTCCCCTGTGAGGGGCCTGCGAGAGGCAACTGATCGATGTTTTGTCTTGCATCAATGTTTTCTCTCTCCCTTCCTTCCTCTCTCTCTATCAATAAATGAATGAATGAATGAATGAATGAATGAATGAATGAATGTCTTTAAAAAGAAAGAAAAGGCTGCTGCACTCCACGAAGCACCTCCCTCTGCTGGTAGATCACATTCACTGCCCCAGATACACCAGACTTCATGCTCCTCATCTACCAAGCCCAGGAGGAGGGCCAGAGCCCAGAGCTGCCATGCTATCACCCCAGCCTCCAGTGGTCTAGCCTAGTCTCTGTTTCCGCCCTGTCTGGCCAGCTATGGGCACTGCACTTTGGCTTGTGCAGCTGCCAAAGAGGCATGGACCTTTGTTACGTTCCTCTATGGTTTCCCTGGGTTTGGGAAGGGTTAAGCTTTCCTTCAAACAATCCAATCTGTTTCCTGGGTTTGTCTCCTTCCCTTTATGGCTGCCATTCTGGCTTGTACTGCACATGTATCCAGTGGAAGGACTTCCCCCTTAACCTTCCCCAACCATCCAGGGGAGGCTGCCAGTGCTCTTTGCGGTGACTGGAAAGCCAGCCTTTCCTGCCCACTCAGACGTTAATTCACTTGGTAGAGCCATGGCAGCTCTTCCCTGGAGAGACTGGGAAACCCTAACTTCCCACCTTAATCAGTTTCCTCACTTCTCTTTTGTTAATACCTATAACTAGTTGCCTATGTTAACAAGATGAAAAACCTTTCTGGGGAGTGGGGGGAGGAGAGAGATAATGAAGACAGTGATAGTTTAGAAATGTCACAGAGATAGAATTATTGAGAATTAGCAGCTGCAACTTTGGATGCTTCAGTTATCCACAGACTTCCCCCCTGCCCGCCCTTTTTAGTAAAGCTCTTTCCGCTATGATCTTGAAAAACTGCCTCTATTGGCCCTTACTACTGTGAATGCTCATTGTATGATTTGAAACAGTAACTTTCATTTCTTCTTGCACCTCTTCCTCTCTAACTCTCTATGTTTAGGTTTCTGTTCTAACCACTTTACTAGACTTGTTCTCTGAACCATCAACAGTGATCTCCTCTCAATCAAAATTTTGTTATGGTCTCAGGCTTTATTCTTTTTTTCTTTCCCCATAGTATTAGATCATTAAGTCATTAATTTGCTCACTCATCCATTCAAAAGTATTTATGGAGCTCTGCGCTAGGCATTGCGGAAGGAGCTCAAGCAGACTGGAGAACATCTCTGCCTGCGAGGAACACAGTCTCCCCTTGTGGAGATGTGCACGCGGATAATCAGGAAGAGGCCTGCTTGCTGAGCGTTAGGTACAAAATGCTGTTGGATGCCAGAGGAATGGGTCACTAACTCTGCCTGCAGGTTTCAAGGAAGTTTTCCCAGGAGAAGTAGTGTTAAAGTGGTTTCTTGGAGAATAGAAAGGGGCTTACTGGGTAGAGAAGTGGTGAGAAGGGCAATTGAGGTTCAGAAAACCAAGTGATGGGAGAGGGAAATGCAGGGTGTGTTCAGTATGGTAGAAGCATATGGTATCGGGGGGCGGGGGGGAGAATCAGTGGGAAGGGCATTGTCTGTCATGCTCCGTGAACACCACACTCCTCCAGAGAACAGCGGAGAAGCACTGAAGGGTTTCAAGCCTGGAAGACAATATCAAGTCAAGTGAGTTGGACTGTGGAGCATGAGGGGACAGAAAAAGCCATAGACATGCCTCCTGATCTGGGGGCTGGCAAAAGAAGAGAAGGGCTTGATGACGGGAAGAGCAGCATGGCTGAAGGGGAAGAAACAGAGACAAAGGCCCTTCTGAGTTGGAAGGAACAAGTCTAAAGCTTTGAAACTCTCTCCCTCCTGGGATCTCGTGACCTGTACCATCCTGCAAGCTGCTGCGTTGCCTAGGTGACCAGCAGCAGTGGGGTTTGGATGTGTGAAAATTGGGGTGGAGGAAAGATTGGAAGAGATCCAGAGTGGCTGAGCAAACAAGGCCGGGAGGCTGTTCTGTCTGTCAAAATAAATAAATAAATAAAAGTTGAAAGCCCTCTGAAAGGGAAAGTGATGTTTAGGGATGGAGCCAGTCTTATGAAGCAGAAAACTGCGGCTGCATGTGGAGTGAAAAACAAATGTGATCAAACTTGATGCCTGCACTTTGAACCAAAATGAAATCAGGAATTTACTGAACTTATTTGTACTATTATGTTATTATTATTATATTTATGTTATATTATTATTATATATATTATTAGACAAAAGTTTGGAATGTGTGTCTAAGTAAAAAGTAAGTAAATGTAAGGAAATACATTTTCTACTGTGATATCTCAGGGACAACTTCAGGAAAATTAACAGCAGACAGGATATTATTGAGTTTTATTTACAGTTTATTTACTTTTATTTTTTATCTGCGCTGGAGGACATGCTTATTGATTTTAGAGGGGAAGGGAAGGAGAGAAATTGGGAGAGAAACATCAATGTGGGAGAGAAACATCGACCGGTTGCCTCTCATACACCCTCCAACTGAGGACCTCTTGCCTGCGCCCCATCAGGGGACTGAACCCACCATGTAGGCATAAACCCTGACCAGGAATTGCATCTGTGACTTTTCAGTTTACCAGACGCTTCAACCAAGTGAGCCACACTGGTAAAGGCATAATTTTGTTAACAGTTTAGGCAATATTTAGCTATTCTCTACTCATTCATGTTTCCCTCTATCTTGGTTCTACCTCATTTCTCTGTCTATTCTCTCCCCTCTCCCCCTCCCCCACACACATGACCTGCATCTACTCTCACAAGCAATAGCCAAGTGTTGAAGCCTATTCATGGACACCTGAGACTTCAGACAATTTTTCGGCATGCCCCTTAATATCTTCGTCCCCTGTTTTGATTTCAGACAGTTCTTCTTGAACATTCATGGCTGGTCTTACATGTCTTTCACATTCCTGATTTGTCACCGTATTGAGGACACTGGCATGTATTTCATGCTACTCTTATTTATTCATTATGCAGCATAATTTGACATTGAGTATCATTTCTATTTGATAGGTTCCCTGGTTGTTCATGCTGAAAACACAGCCTTTATCTAAGACATGTCTTTGGCCTGCTGTCAACTTCCAGCTTCCGGCAGCATCCACTGCAGTCCACGCAGCCATGAGCACATGCTAACTCCCTTCAAAATTAAAATATGTCATACCTTCTAGTTAATCATTGTGTCATTCTCCCCCTCAAAGAACTTTTAATGTGTAGCCTAAAATTGAAAACTGTTTTGCTAATCTAACTTTCCTGTCTAAAATATTTTCTCATTAACTGATTCAATACTACACTCTTTATTTAAGTGTACTGTATGCTCACATTGGCTTTAATCCTATAGTGCCTCATATTATACTTATTTCCCTCCTTAAATATCTGCCAGTCTGATATCATCTTTATTTTGCCTTATACCCGTTTGTACCATTGCAAAAGGGACAGTTCTATTGAAGGTTTTCAAAGTGTTCATTTGGTCACATACAAAACAATGGTAGCAGGTGTATATATCACTATGGATTAACTTAATGTACATATGCATATATAGGTATGCATATACATATGTTCATTTTATTACATGTGTATATACAAAGCACCTTTTTATTTCTTTGACCATCCTTGATTATATCTCAACATTTCTACAAATGAAAATTGACTTTATTAAGACAGATCCTTACTTGATGTTATTGCATCAAGTTCATTGCCACTTTTTTTTTTTCCCTAACGGGGACAGAGATAATTGTCTCCCAAGAGTATTTTTAGAATTTGAGTTCTTGTTCTTAATTTGTTAATTAATGCCTAGTTTAGTAAAGTAATCTAAGACAATGAAGCGGGTTAACTAGCATGTTACTCCTTTGGGTAGATTCCCATAGTCCGCCTTGAACAGAGGACGTTAAATGCAGTGTGACCTAAGTTTTAATGAGGGCTATTCATGTTGTCTTAAACCTTCCCCCAAAGGCTTTCACTATTAACATATGGCATCTGTTTTGATTAATTCTTTGGTTTTCCTTTATTTCATGATATGCACCACTCTACTGAAACAAAAGCAAACCTAAAATTCAAGAAGCATAAGAGACTGAGCAAGTCTATACTAATAGGAAAATTTCAACTTCTCTGGATCCAGGATCCATGACAACCTGTGCCTCAGGTTGGCCACCATTTCAGGCAAAGTTTTTGTGGCTCTGGGAAAAGGTCAAGGAACCATGGTTCTGTTCCTGACTTTGCCACTGGGCAGTTGTGTGACCCTGGAACATCAGCCCCCTCTTTGGGCCTCAGTCTCTTATCTACTAGATGAAGAATTAGATGAAATAACCTTTAACACCTTCTGGCTCTTAAAGTCTCTGATTCTATGAAGGCCATGAGTCTTCCTGACACTAAAACTCCATCATCTCAAGAGATCAAAGGATGAAAAACTAAGTGCATATGAAGGTCAGATAACATAGTTAAGGGCAAGTTCTTCCTAACATCAAGGCTCAGGGGGAACCTCATTCACAATAGCATCTCAGAATTCTTCAAAATGAGTTGAAACAATTAAAGTATTGCTATTATGCTAGGCCTGTGGCAACAGCACTAGTGGGACAAGGTCTATTGTTCCTGGTTGGCATATTTTGCCCTCACTGGATACACATCTAATGTACTTTATATGTCAGTGGCTTTATCTATTGAGAATGTAGAGAGACATCAAGAAAGAAGCCAAAAAAAAAAAAAAAAAAAAGCTTCAAATTCTAAAGAGTAGATTTAAACTTCTTGAGAAATTTTCATGAAAACATGTATAATCTCTTCACTGGAGAGTGCCTCAGGCCCTCATTCAAAGACCACTCGAGCCTGCAGAAATAAAGAAAAGGATTAATAGCTCACTTATTGAGCTTGTATTGCATGGAGGCACTATAGTCAGTATTAACAAATTTAATGTATTAATCCTTACAACAACTTTACAAAGTTAGTGCTATTACCCCGTTTTGTGCACTAGTAAACTGAGGCTGCGGACCCTGGCATCTCGCTGCCCAGCCCTGGGCCCCCAGCAGCCTACCACATTCCTCTTCTGAGCGGGAGGACAGAAGGGCCCTTAGACATAGACCTACCGAGAGGCTGAAGAAACAGGAGGCAAAGAATCTGTAAAAAGCCTAGACAACACGAAAAGCAGAAACTTGCAGTCATGCAAGAAGCTAAGCCAATCTATTTATGCATCTGCTTATTTGTTTCCTAAAAGCTTCTGTGGAGCTTGCCTTGTGTCAAACACTATTCCCTTTACTTTACAAATCTTAACTCACTGTATCTCTTAACAAGCCAAAAGATAGGATAAAAGATAATTAGACCCATTTTATACGTAAGGAAATTGAAGAATTTCCTTCAATTCTTCAAAGATGAATTTCCTTCAATTCATCGAAGAGACATTCGATGACTTGCCCTGGTCCCACAGGTGGCAAGCAGCAGAGCCAGAACTCAGACCTGGGCCGACCTGCTGTGACATGGGTGTTCTTGAGCCTGGTGCTGGGCAGTTAGTTCCAGGCACTTTTCTCATCTCCCTACTTTATTAAAATAACAGAGATTCATTCATTCATTCAGCAATGTTAAGATAGCTGCACATTAATTTTAATATTGCTGCAAGGCAATATTAAATATGCATGACTAATGAGTTTCAAGGAAAGAGTTAACTTATTTTGGTATATTGGTTAAGAAACCAAGATCCCCTATACATTTTAGAAGAGTTCTCATTCATAATAGTTTCTTCTTGTTGTTGTTTTATTGTTTATAGTGTCTAATCCCAACTGTTTGAAAAATTCAGCTTAAGTACTTTCAGACCCACCAAGGATACTTGATTTGACTTCTCATTGTATTCAAGATTGGGGTAAAATTATGTTAAAATGAGCCACCATATTTACTTTCTAAACATACAAGAGTACCAAGGGAGAAGGTAGCTGTAATTTAATTTATAAAATAATACATAAATATAATTTATTTCCAGATCAAGAAATAGGGTATCATCTGTAATTCCCTTATATAATCCCCTAAATTCTCAAGCAAAATGAATACAATATTCAGCAGAAATAGAATTCTTTGAGATTGGCTGTAAGTCCTAAGAAACCTTAGGACATTTGATGTATCTTGTGTCTAAATTGTCAACCGTGTTTTTTCTGTTATTTCCTTTTGGTATTATTGATGAGTATAGTATTTGCTCAGCATTAACATTAGCTGTAGAAACAGGACCTGAAAAAAGTGGAAAACCAAACTACTGCAGCCATCCGTCATTCGACAGGACAGCTTTCTCCAAAGGATACACCCTTTCACTTGTTTTTAAAGGAAGGAGGTGCTTAGCCCACAGATGTCTCTTAACCTACTCTTAGGCTCTGCTACTGTCTGGTGACACCCTTTGAAGAGCCAGTGCATTCCAGCTCTCCTTACACACTTACAGTTACGTGCTGTACAGCAGGATCCCAATTAGCGGAAATCAGTGAAGAGGAAAACATGGTATTAGCCAGAGAATATTTTATTTAAATTGTCAAGTGTGATAAAATACATGAAAACGGAATTGGGGCATCTCATACAAGAAACCCAAGATTCAAGAATTGGTTTAAAATGAAAGATTGTGAGCTGCAGAGAGGGTGATGAAGGTTTCTGTTCAAAACAAGGAGTGCTTCCTTAAATAAAAGAGGGAGGGATTTTATTTTAAACCTAAATATGGTATATGGCTTCTTTCCGCAGTTCTGGGGTGGATTCAACAGTATGTTTTCCAGATCAGCACATCAACTTCAAATCTGTGACACCCGCCAGGCAGCCTGAATCAATGAATCTGAAAGCCTCAAAGAGCATGGACCTTGGTAAGTGAGGGTGAGGTGACAGACAGGTCATCCAGCCCATCTGTCTTCCCAAATGTCCTGCCTTTGTTTCTTCAACTCCAACCTTATGGGGCAAGGCCTGCTGAAACCTTGAGGAGGGGATAATGGTCATCCTATCTTCCTGTCTCCTCTCACAGACTTAATTGTAATTACCCCTTTTTAGAAGAGATAAATGACATATTTTTATAAAGTGGTCCATATAGGTCAGAAAAATACGATGATTCCTTCCGGAGAATCTCAGTGCCATAAGCATTTATTTAACTCTCCAGCCCTTGTATCTGTACTGGCTTCTGCGGCTGCCTTGCCATTTCCTATGTGCATACCTGTTGCAGGGCCTGGGAAGATAATGTGCCTAAATGAATCCTCTTTACGGGGCTTCCCATCTCTATATGCAATGAGTAGGAAAGACAGCAAAGGATTTATGTCTTTATATGCCCATCTCCTAATCCTGTGACCCTGGAGGGAAGAAGTGCCCTGTGTTTGCCAGATTGAGGGTGTCAAGGTGCCCTGGGTTGTACCTGGACAATTTCACTGAGGTTGGAGCCTCACAGGGAACCTAAGTGACTATCACCTGCCAGCACAGAGCCAGGCCCTGGAAAATGGGACCCTGGAAGACATTCCAGACACCCAAGGACTTCGCTGCCCTCCCATGGGCTCTTGGAGAGAGAAAACTGTTAGAGAAGAGTGTGGGTACAAAATAAATTCTCAGCAAATTATTCATTGCTTCCTGAATGCTCAGAGGCCAAGCTTTGTGAGTGTTTTTTCTTGAGGCATATTACATATTTCATTAGTAGCAAACAGTAGAAAATAGAATAATCAAAACTGCATGTTCCACGAAACAATCTGATAAATAGTGCTTATCTGTAACTCATTTACAGGAGTTCAGAAAAATGTTCAATCATGATGGAACAAGAGAAATTGATTCTATTTTCTATAAATTAAACAGATCCCTGGGACACATTTGCTCTAATCCCCTATAGTGAAAGGCGGGTAGAAAGCCTTAAGCGATGCTGTCGTTAGCATCAAGCAGAAAGGGCTATTTTCTCTCACGTGAACCTTTGACAAAACAAAGGAATAATGTGTGACAGTGACATAGGTTATTACTAATAATTTAAGGGGCGATTTATTTTCATAGAGTGCTTGATAAACATTTCCTGTTCTGTCTTCCCAATTTCTCTATGAAGAAGATGAATGGATAAAAATTGCTCTTTGTTTTCGAGGAGAAGTATATTAATGTTTTCCTCATTGAATTAAAAAAAAAAAGTAGCCAGCAGTATGGTTCTAAAAATATCTGTAAAAAAGGGAAAAAGCATCCATTTTAATTTAAGGAAGAATAAATATGATCAAATCTGTAAAAATAAAACCTGAGGCAGGCCCAGAAACATATTTCTTTTTATATTTTTTGTTACGGAAAAGTTTGTTCTTGAGAAGTATTTTCTTTTAAGTTGAAAATAGTTATTGCAAAATATGTATGGTTAGCAGTCACCAAATGTATTTTATTGTACTCATACCATATATGACAACAATAATAGTAATGTTTGTTCAACTTACATAATTGGGCAGAGGTCATGAGCTGTTTTCTTCAGGACAAAACTACCAAACTAAAAGCAATGGCTAAAATGCACCATACAGCAGAAGTGGTAAAATAGGCTATAAAAACATTTTTAAAGTGGCCATCAAAGTTTGGTCCTTTCTGGAAAGTGCCAATTTAAAGCTAACAGTCTTGCAGAGGGCGCTGAGGGTCACCATTCTAGGACCATTCTGAACTGTCCCCAGAACAATTCAGTGAGCTCAATAAATATGTTGATTTTGTCAGTGAATAAATTTAGATGATACCAGAATGGTAAACACTAGAAGTGTCTTTCCCGTTGGGTAGGTGAAAAGAATATTGTATTTAGTTTAGTTTTCTGTGTATCACACTAAGCCAATGTAAGGAATTTACTACAAGGTTGGTTATCGTGCTTGTAGGAATAATCTCCAGCAGCGTCAATATCTATTTTTCAAAAAGTAAGGAAAGTTGAAAAAACTTTGTTTATTATGTAATTAATTTATATGTTGGATAGTCCTCCTTTATCAAGTTTGTAGGAATCTTCAAAGGCTAACAGGCCCAACCAGTACTTTATTTTTGTTTGTTTTTTGTTGGTTTCATTGTTGCTATTCAGTCTAAGCTAGTATATTAACTCTCCTACTAATGAGTCATTGTTCATGTGTTCAAATTACTTTTAGGTGGCTGGGTCCCATTTATTTATTTTCACTTAGGTTTCCAAAGATAGACAATTCTTATTATAAAAATAAAGCCTTCTCACTTCTGTTACCTTCCCTATTTCCCAGACACAAACATAATTTTAAAATGGTTTGCTATGTACCTTCTTACAGAAAGCACTCTACCTATTTGCTGCCCTATCTATATGCATATGTCTGTATCTATGTTGTGTTTCTTTGTAACAGAGTGTGGTGTTATGTTATAGGAATGAATTTTGATTTACAGTTTGCTTTTCCCCTTTTAATTAAATTTGGGTTTCATCAATAGTTTTAGGGTCTTTTATCTTTTTGGGGTTTTTGGAGGATCCATTTGTATTTCTTATTCCATAGTTTGCTTATTCATGTCCTTTGCCAATATTTCCATTCATTAATTCTATTTTCTTTCTTTTTGAGAATATTATATATATTACAGATAAGTTCTTGCAATTTGTCTTTTTAGTTTGAGCATGATATTCTTTATAATTAAAAAGGTTCTTGTCTCAGAGTCAAATATTTCCATCTTTTTCTTCAGGACTTTTCAGTTTTACATTTATGTCATTTATTTCCTTCTAGTACTATTAAGAACTTGTTTTTCTTTTTTAATATGTAGCAGCCTGTAATATATTATTTATATGTGTTTTATGAGGTGGAAAAATTTTAGGCAAACTATTAGTAACATTTATTGACTTTTGCATCCTTTCCCTATTAATTCAGGATGCAGTCATATCGAGCACTAAATTCCCTTACATACATGGGTTGGTTTATAGACATGTTGTCCTATTGGTATATTAGTTAGTTCCATGCCAGAATCACCCATTTTAAATTATGATGCTATCATTCTGTATTTTGATAACTTTCAGGGCAATCTTTCTCCGATTTTTTTTCTTTTGTTAAATTACTTTGGCTCTTCATATACATTTATTCTCCTACCTGAACTGCAGGTCATCTCATCAAAATAAATTTAAAAATTAAACAGGAAAGCTTCTACTGTGTGTTTGTGTGCACACAAGTGTGTGTTCATCATGATGTTTGCTGATGGCTCCTAATAGAAGTATTTTCATCAAGTTAAATAAGTTTTTTTGTATTCCTACCTTCTTAAAAAGATTTTTATTTGCTCATTTTGTTTAATCAGAAATGGATGTTGAATTTTATTAAGTGATTTTAAGGCTCTACATAAAATGATTATGCTCATTTTATTTATTTATTTCATTAATTTAATGAATTATATTAATAGAGCCCCCACAATTTTAAATCTTTGATTCTTTCTGAATGACTCAAAGTTTTTCTCTGCACTTGGAGAAGGTTAAAATGAGTAACTTTTTCTATGTGCTCTGAAACATACAGATAAAATTCCAGTTATTTTACTCAGTTTCATTAGTTCCTATACTTCCATTATAGATTATTTAGGCTATTCTGCCTCAGATATTTTGTGGATACTTTTGCTGGCATGCATATGGCCGCATTTAAGTCAGATCAGGAATGATTAAAATGATGAAAAAAAAGGAAATTTATTTTTAAATAATTAGATGTAACTATGCTTATTCAAAGGGGTTAGGGTGTCATTTTCTGGGTTTTCCAGAAAATCAATCTTTTCCTACTAATTGTAGACTTTCCTCTATTTATTTAAATTACCAGAATTACTATGTTCAGTCTGGATCCCTTTAATTTGTTCATAATTGAGCTTGTGTGGGTGTTGAGTTGGAAGCTCTCAGGAGCTGAATAACACAGCTGCCTCTTTGGCCTTTGGCATAGGGTTTTCCCCCAAAGAGCTGCCCTTGTTGGCAGCATGCCAAAGAGTTACATTCAAAGACTTTTTGATGAGGAATAAACATCTTTAATTTTCAGGCCTGGTGTTTTATGACCCAGTAATGCTGTATAAGTATTAGTCCGAATTATTCTAGGGATAGCGCTTTAGTATTTTGGCCCATTCATTGACCTAATCTGTAGCCCCATTCAAAGTTAAGTTTAAAACGTTATGTCTCAAAAGACTTTTTTTAGTGTTTTCTCTCCTGTTTCCAATGGGCCTCCTACTCCCCTGGCAGAAGGGCATTCTGGAGCGCGGTCAGGAGGACACTGTGGAAAGTGCCGACGGGAGATTTGGCCAGCTGTCCTGCGCCTGTTCAATGGGGGGAAACGAGCCCTAAGTGATGCATGGGGCTCTCAGGCAAAATGCCAGAGAGTTTCCTGACAGTGAAGATTGTTGACATTCCACGTCTCAGAGGCTCTTAAAAAGTGCATGCCTTAGGAGTCCCTAAAATCAAGACGATAAATAAACTGGCTGGTTTCCTTTTAAGATCTGTGATTCAGCAACTTTATTTTTTTCGTTGCTTGTTCAAAATTTGTCTTAAGGCAGAAATTACTTGTAGACACTCACAGTTGAAGTAAATTATGTAACAGCTGATTTCTCATAGCAATGAAGGTAAATATTTGGGTCACATTATGACCCTTTCATAAACATCAGACGTTCCTATCAGAGAGTAGTTAGGCATCTAGTATCAGACTGAAGGAGAACATGAAAAAAGCTAATTAACCCCACTCTACTTTTAGAATACATTATTTTTAAAATTATTTTTTACAATGAACAATTTTTATATACATTGTTAGTAATAAGACAAAAATCCTGAACACTGAATGCATTGGAAAATGTTTATAAAACTGTATATTCTAATAATTGTAATGCTAGTTCTTATATTAATGTTAAATGTTATATTTATATATTATATTAATATATGTTAGTATGA